TATAATGTTTCACTATGTATAGATCTAATGTTGCAGTGAACCGAACCATTCTTTCGCTATTTGCTGAAACATTGTTTTTATATAAGGTGAAACAACACCAGATTTAAACAAGTGAAACATTTTCGATCTACTTAGTGAAACAATTTCGATATAACTGGTGGAATAAGCTAAAAATTTAAAGATAATTCAATAATAAGCTAAAATTTCTTTTTATCGGAATATATCCATGTGTGGTCTTGTATTGAAGATTTAATTGCAACGAATTTAATGGTGTAATCGGATCATGATTTGGATAAGTAATTTAAGAGAAAAATTAGTTTAAAAGTAGTTTTGCACGTAAATCGGGCGCTGACGTCATGCTGACGTCAGCATCCGATTTTTCCCTAAAGCATCGGACGTCCGACGTGTAGCCCTCTCCTTTTTTTGAAGATCCCCGGCAGCTCGATAGGAATTTTGACGTGGGACCAAAACCATCTGAAAGTAGACTGATGCTGTCAGGAGGCCCGAATCCGAATCAAAAACGTGTAGAACTTCATCTCTTGTCTTCTATGGACCAAAAGTGACATGGTGAGGTAGAAATAGACTTGGAGAAGGTCTTGGTTTGGTCCCCAATCAACTTCTTTGATCATCCAAGTATTCCTTATGCTCGATTTCTTTTCCTTCTCCCAAGCAAGTACCTCTGCAAACGAAAACACACGAAACTCACTGTGTAGCAACATTTGTTCAAATATATAATAAGTAAATCTAACATAGAACATATGCACCTTTGGTTGATGAATATATAAATTAGTCATGGTCATATCCGAGCTAGTTATGTCCTCATCATGGAAATACCCTCCAACCGTCATTGGGAGCTAATCCACACCGTCCAGAAGAAACCCTGCATCCAGCGGCGATGAGGGAGGTTCGGCCGAACCCCCTGGTTCGGCTGAACTTGGGGCCGGCCCAACCAGCCCATGGTTTGCCTGGTGGCCTCCTCTGTTGTTCTTCTCCGCAGACTTGTGAATTTTGGCCCAGTTTGTCGTGTCAATTCTGAGTTCTTGGCCATTCACACATAAGTCTGGTTCTCGACATCGTCCGATTGATTTATCGTCTGTGTTGATGTCGATTCTCCTCCACTTTAGTGTCATTCTCTGCAAAATGTTAGTATACCTAATACTAGTGGAATATTATTATTCTAACATGTTTATGCATTGCAAGCATCTCTAGTTCTCCTCTATTTTGGTAATATTGAAGGTCGAAACTGATCGATAACGACCGTCAACAAACACCATGCTTAAATTACCAAATACTACTCTAATATTATCATCATGACATAGAGTCATCGTATACACGATCATTATACCTACACCATTGCATCTCCCAGATAAGCTAACATTATAATAAATATAACTTGGACATATAGTAAAGTTGGTATTAATATACTCGGAAATTAATACAATACCAAAGTAGTATAAAGAAGAATATTCTAAAGTACAAGTTTTACATAAGAAGGAAAAGCTACTAGAGCCACACCCGAATTCTTCCGAAGACTCCGTGGACTGAAGATTCTATTCTATTTCTATTCCACTATACTCTAGAGACTACTAAACTTGAGCGATGAAATGAAGTTTTTGCTTGAGGTGTGTCTTGTAATGGAGGATGAGAGCTCCTTTTATATCTTGGTAACGACGGTTATGGCAGCTGGAATGGTCGGTAATACCCTCCAACCGCCATAGCGGAGCAATCCGGACAATCCAGCGCAAACCATGCATCGGACGGTTGCACGATGGTTTTGGCCGAACCATGGGCCGGCCCAACCAGCCCAAGTTTTGGCTGGTGGCCTCTTCTCTAGATCTCTTCTGCAGACTTATGAATTCTGGCCCAATTGGTCATGTCATTTCTGCATTCTTGGCCCATTCATTGATAAGTCCGATCCTCGACAGCGTTCGATTGATCGATCGTTTGTGTTACTGTTGATTCTCCTCCATTTTGTGTTCATTCTCTACAAGAGGTTAGTAATCCTAGTGCTAGTGGAATATATATTATTGGCAAAATTTGCTACAGGTCTTTGCTGTGAGACACCCGAAGATCGTGTATTTGCTCGTGGACACCGTAAAAAAGTGGTAATTAGCTATTGGATGCTCCTCCCATTATTTTATTATTTCCGGTCAAAATGGAGAGAGAAACTTTGGTTAAAGACAAATTTGCCCACTTGTCAATCTCTCTTTCTCCGTTCTTCTTCTTCCTCTCTTTCTCTCCGTTCATCTCTTCCTCTCTTTCTCTGTCACGGCACACCGGGCAGAGCTCCACGGCGAAGGTGTGCCAGCGAGGACGACGAGGCGGCAGCGTGCTTGGACGCAACGACCTGCAGTGGGTGATCGCCTGCACGATGGTGCGGGCGTGGCGCGCGTGGTCACCACTCTTGAAGATGCTCGAGCCGACGAAGATGCCGTCGCAACCGAGCTGCATCATGAGGGCGGCGTCGGCGGGGGTGGCGACGCCGCCGGCCGCGAACAGCACGACGGGGAGGCGGCCCAGCTGCTTGGTCTGCATGACGAGGTCGTAGGGCGCGGCGATGCGCTTGGCGTAGGCGAAGACCTCGTCGTCGTCCATGTCGCGGAGCGTGCGGATTTCGCCCATGATGGAGCGCACGTGGCGGACAGCCTCGACGACGTTGCTAGTGCCTCACAGACGCGGTGCGCGGCTTCCTCGATGAAGCAGATGACGTGCTGTTCGGGCAGCGTGCTTGGACACGACGACGCAGGCGGGCCACGGCAAGGTGATCAGGTCGGCAAGGCGGGCGGCGCGGGAGCGCGACGTGAAGAAGTCGAGCTCGCCGCCGCCGATGCGGAGGGCATCACCGGCGGTGCCATGGGCGATGCGCCGCCGCCGCCGCCCTGCCGTGGCCGAGCCGTCCCGGCTCGGGCCGGCCGCCGTCACCCTCTACTCCACTGCAAAGAAGAAGAAGGGGAAAAGAAAAGAAGTGAGAGAAAGAACACTGTACAGGGGCATTTTGGTAATTACACAACTCTTTCTCTCTCTATTTTGACCGGAGATAATAAAATAATGGGAGGAGTGTCCAGCAGCTAATTACCACTTTTTTACAGTGTCCACGAGCAAATACACGATCTTCGGGTGTCTCGCAGCAAAGACCGCAATTTTTCGGTGTCCTGTAGCAAATTTTGCCTATATTATTTGACATAAATATGCATTGCAAGCATAACTAGTTCTCCTTTATTTGGGTAGTATTGACGGGTGAAACTGGTCGCTAACGACCGTCAACAGGTGGCGGCTTCTTTTGAGCCGTCTTCTCTTGTTTCTTAGCCGGTGTACTAGATTTTACCAGCGTCTTCTTCTCAAGGGACCTGGTTACCGGCATTCCCTTCTCCAGGAAATTCTGCATGAATTTTACTAGGCTGTCTGTCTTGGGTGGCTCCACTTCGACCACATGAATATTTTGCGGGTTTGGCCCATACTTTATCCTCACCATGGAGCATTGCTCGGTCCTTGGCTGGAACTCAAACTTTTCTTCCTTCCCATTGATACAAAAACGGATGCTTCCCGTTCCCACATCAATGTTAGTATCTGCGGTACTAACGAACGGACGCCCCAAGATGATTGGCGTCTCCTTGTCAGATTCCATATCCAACACCACGAAGTCAACCGGGATGAAGAAATCCCGTATCTTGACCGGTACGTATTCCACTATGCCAGTTGGGTAATGGACCAATGAATCGCCCAGCTGCAGACGCATTGGTGTTGGTGCCAACACTGTAAAGTTGAGTTTGTCGAAGACATCCTTGGGCATGATGCTCACGCTTGCTCCAAGGTCGTAGAGGGCCTGGTTGAATTTCTGTGTCTCGATCGAGCAGGTGATCATGAGATACCCTGGACCCTTCTTCTTTTCCGGGAGCTTGTGGAGTATGGCATTGCTGCATTCCTCCATTAGTTTGACCACTTTAGTCGTCGGTAGTGGCCTTTGTTGAGGATATCCTTGAGGTATCGTGCATAAGTGGGCACTTGCATGACGTCTAGCAGCGGCACGTGAATGTGAATCTTTTGGATCACCTCAACAAAACGAGCGAACTACTCGTCCACCGACGGCTTCTTGTATCTCTGGGGGAGTGGCAGCGGTCTCGTGTCACAATACTCCTGCAGCACGGTCTTCTTTGACTGAACCTCTTCTTCAGTTGTGTCACTAGATGGTGCTTCCCTGTTGCTGTTGTTGCCGGTCCCTGCAGGGTTAGGATATGGCAGATTGCGAGTGGACTTACCTCCCCTCGTTGTAATCGCCTTAGCATTTTCAACATAAGGTTCCGGTTGCTCCGGAACCCTCCCTTATTCATTAGCGGGAATTAATGCAGCAAGCTACGCCAGCTGGGTTTCAATCATCTTTTAAAACTAAGCTTGTTCTGAAATGCAGAACCAAAGCCATCTAGCTTGACGTTTATATTCTCTAGTATCTTGTCATTAGCAGCTAGCTTTTTGCTAAGTGCGTAAGTTGTTTTGGCTTGTGCAAAGACGAGATCCTTCAAGGAAGGTTGGTTAGAAAGGTTACCGTTATTGTTGGCTCCTTGGAAATATGGGTGGGGTTGGTTTCACCCCTGACCTCCCTGTGGACGGAACCCGTTGTGTTGTTATCCATGTACATCGCTTCTTCACGTGTTTCCGGATAGTCATTTCCACAATGACCCATGCTGCCGCAGACCTCGCACGTTACATGTGAGTCCAATGCCTTAACAGTGCCCTGGGGCTTCTTCTCGTGGTCGTCCAAATGTTTCATGAGGAGGTCCAGTTTTGCAGCGAGCATCTTGGTCTCCTTTATGGTGTGCATTCCTCACTTACGGGTCTGGAGTCGTTCTTTGCTCCAGTCCATGTTGGAGACCATCTTCTCTATGAAGTCGACGGCTCCTCTGACTGTCTTAGAGAAGAAAGCTCCTCCAGCTTCCGCGTCTAGGTGGTCACGAGACGTGGGAGTGAGCCCGTTGTAGAAGCTCTGGAGTATCAGCCACTCATCCATCCCATGATAAGGACAGGCGGCCACATACTCCTGAAGTCGTGCCCATGCTTCGGGGATTGACTCATCCCTCGTATGCTAGAATCCAGAAATCCTTCCACGAAGGGCGTTGGTCTTACCCATCGGGAAGAACTTCAACAAAAATGCCGTAGAGCATCTGTCCCAGGTGTTGATTGTAGCACAGTTGGCATAGAACCACTGCTTCACCTTCCCCAGGAGGGAGAAACGAAGCAGCTGGATCCTGACGCGTCTGGACTGACACCCTTCATAGTGTACGAGCTACATATCTCCTGGAATTGCTGCAGGTGTGCGCTGGCATATTGGTTAGGCTTGCCGCAGAACGGGCTAGCCTGCGCCATCATGATGAGGCTCGACTTCAGATCGAAGTTTGTGTCTCCTAAGTTAATTTGTGGCCTAACGGGCACGTTCTCAGCTGAGGGAGCAGCGAACTCTTGAAGGGTCTTCTCGGCCATAGACTTGAAGCTCGGTGACGCTGATTTCTTTGCCGAGAGAGATTTCTGCGGAGGAACGATGCGCGGCTTAACACTCCAGAAGAAAACTTTTTGATTTTCTTTGAAATTTTCCGGCAAGTTGAAACTAGTCATACACTGCCCTATTTTCACAGCAAAAGCGAAAATAACCAAGGTTAGCCTGCAAAAGGACAGTGATTATACAGAGATAAATATAAAATATTAGTAATCTCTTTTATAAATCTTCCCCGGCAACGGCGCTAGAAATGCTTGTTGGTATTTCTTAACGATATTACTAGAAATATAATTCCCAGCAATGGTGCAAAACCACTCGTGGTATATTATGGTTACAGATTTCATCCGCAAGCACATGGATAATTGTAGCATTTCACCCGAGAGTATTCCAAGGGTATCGTATTTTTTTAATCCCGTGGGAAAATTATAATAGAGAGAACCAAGCTAATACTTATATGTTACTTGTAATAATCAAAGTCTAAGAAGGGGTTAGTTCAATTCAAAGGGTAGGGTGACACAAAGCTGAAGCATTCACTATTCTCATACTTACTAATTCTATGCTAAGTGGAAAGAATAAGAAAAGGATCATTTCCTATACTTCTAATATACATACATACACTTTAGTCAATATTATCTACTATATAACCGTATAGCCAATACCCCCTTATGATGCCCTCCTGGTGTTTCGAGAGACCACCCTTGGTTGCCGAGTTTCTTACAACAACCCGTCAAGCCCATCCAACTGGGGCTAAATACGGAGGAGTACCCTCCCTAAAAAAATAACTTAGGATTATATACACGCGCAGAGGAATACCCATACTGAGCTGTCTCCATCAGTAGCCCTCCTCGACGTATCCGCAGCATATAACCCCCAAAAATGAGAATATATTGAGAAGAATATTCTATAAATAGTACAAGTCTTACAAAAGAAGGAAAAGCTACTAGAGTCTTACCCGAACTCTTCCAAAAACTCTGCGGACTGAAGATTATATTCTATTTCTATTCCACTATACTCTAGAAACTATATTAAACTTGAGAGAATGTATGAAGCTTCTTGCTTGAGATGTGTGGAAGAGGTGAGGAGGTGAAGGCCTTATATAGCTCTCCAATGACGGTTGTGACTGTTGGAATGGTCGGAAATACCCTCCAACTATCATTCGGAGCTAATCCACACCGTCCAAACCAACCCCTGCATCCAACGGAGCTCAAGGGGGTTCGGCCGAACCATGGGCTGGGCCAAAATTAGTCCAATTTCGGCTGGCGGCCTCCTCTTCTGTTGGTTTCTGCAGACTTGCGAGTTTTGTCCCATTGGTTGTGTTCTTTCTGAATTCTTGGCCCATCTTCCTCTAAGTCTGATCCTCGACAGCGTCCGATTGATTGATCGTCCATTTTACTGTCGAATCGCCTCCATTTTATGTTTATTCTCTGCAAGAGGTTAGAAAGCCTAGTGCTAGTGGAATATATCTTATTTTGACATAATATGCTTTGCAAGCAAAACTTAGTTCTACTTTATTTTGGTAATATTGACGTGCGAAACTGATCGCTAACGACCGTCAACAGATATGAACCTTGCTCTTAATAATGAATCCTTGGGATTTTATAAAAAGAAAATAAATATCTTTGCGTACTCTTCATTGATGTTCCCTTCCTACCAAAGCCATATATCGATCTTAATGATGAAACCTTGTACATTATCGGAAAGTTGGTACTCAATTGCTTGCTATCATTTTGAGTTTTGCCAAATGGTTGTGACCATCTTAGATTCTTTTCATATTCTCATGAGCAAAGTCTTGTGCACTTAGACACCAAAAATATTGCTTTTTCTCTACACTGGAGGATTAGCCAAAAAGAAAACTAATCCATCCATATCTATATGCTAAACTTCTATGTTTTAAGCAATGTATCCACAGAATAAAGACTCTAAAAATTTTGTGGTCTCTCCTCCCATGATCCATGCCAAATGAGAGATGAGCTAAAATAAAAAACTCTGCTCAAAAGAAAATGATCAAACTCGAGCACGATGAAAAAAAGGTAGAGATAAAAAGAGTCACCATCCCATTTTTTATTGTAGATTTTTCACCCTTTTCATTTCTACCCATAAACATAGGTGCACAAGCTTGGTCATGGTTATATGATTAGTTATCTTGTTGTATCCTCTGTTTGACTTTACTATATATCTGATGCAAGTATGTCATTTCTTATTCCCTACCCTGAGATCCATATAAGCCTAATTAGAAAGGTAGGATGAGAAAATGCAACATCAATACCTTGGTGAGGAATAAACACTTTGAGTGATTTGAGGGAGTCAATTGAGAAGTACAGTAAAAGTTATGTTTTTATAAACATCAAAGAAAATCCTATGGTAATTCATCAGAAGTAGTAGAGGGGACTTGGTTCGAGGACTGTTACGTTCTTCAATCGCCTAAAGATGGCATGGTAAACACATCAATGTTTACAGCCTCAAGTATGTCTTGGAATATTTGGTATGTCATGTCATGAAGCAAAAAGTCATTACTCTAGTAGGTTCATGAGCTTTACTCAGGGACGAGTTGAAGATAAGTGTTGGGGTGTCATTGAAGGTCGTTAAGTGCAAACTTTAACCGTTAACACCTACATAAAAGATATCAAATATACTCTCAAAACATAGTGGTAGGAGTTTACTACTAACCACTTCAACTAATTTTGGTAAATATATGTATGCAGGTCATTTAAGGAGAAAATATATCTGCCATGCGACAAAAATGAACCTCTGACCAATCATGTGCGAGTACAAGGATTGGACGGACCACAAGTCAGTCGAAACTGACTTACATTGGGACCAAACCGCCATAGGGGCCCACCTATAAGCTGCTAGAGAATCCATCCTGGCCCACCTCATCTCCACCTTACACGTGGATGGCTCCAGTGGAGTCCCAATGATGGTTCTGAGGGGTTAACCGCCATTCCAACCATCATTGGCAGCTATGAAAGTAGGAGACCTAACACACTTCAACACACAACTTTTGAGCTCCAGAGAGTACAACTAAATTGTAGTTTCTGTCGCGACCGAGAAAATTGCATTTTCCCGAACGCTAGTGTATTAATCCCCGTCCCAGGAAAAGCCGGGGTACACCATACAAACATGATATAAAAGACACATCTTTATTATATCGATAATATTTACATTATTACAAAGGCACTTAAGGCCTGACAATCAACAATAAACAGCAGCGGACTAGCGGGCCTACGGCTCCATCTTCACAGGCGCTCAACTGGGGTATAAGCCAAGACTCCACCTAAGACTTCTTCTCCAAAGCTTCTCTTACTGAAGGGGGGAGAAAGATAGAGCAAGAATGAGTACAACCACAGTACTCAGCAAGCCACACCGGCGGATGCACGATTAATGCAAGGGGGTACAAGGGATAATGATATAGGGGTTAAGTTTTGCAGAAAACAGCATTTAAAAGTCACTTAGTTGCCCAAAGCCATTTTAAAAAGACGATCCTAAAGCTACACAGTATTATTAATCAAGGTCGTGAACCCGCACGAACCTGCCTTAACCCAAGGCCTACGATGATTCAGACCGAACTGGCAACCCGACCCTGGGTCCCAGCTCGTCCCTAGCCATCCCAGGCCAACCATTCCACATTTTAGTTGTTGAGCAAATTTTAAGAATTAAAACACTAACTTGGGTACATTGCTCGGCTTGCCCATAACCGAGGGCGCGGCTATTCGAATAGATTATACTCTGATCAGAGGTGTACATCTTTACCCACAAGACACATCTTCCTCACGTGTAACCACGTGCCACATACCACCACGGTATACGGACGGAAGACGTGACATAGTTTCCAACCCATCCTAGCCATAGACAAGAGTACCGACCCAACCCCACCTACGGCCGGAACCCCCGGGACAGGCAGGCAGGATTGAGCCCCCTAGCAGCAGGACACCGGCCCTGTGCCATGACATCTCGACTACCGGGCCGCAGCTCGTGTAGCCTTCATTTGTCCTAGAGATGTCCATCGACCCCCGACTTCGTCCATCTCCATCCGTGTACTTTTGTTTATAACCAGACTGAGCCACAAACTAAGCCTTACCCACTAGACATGTGGAAGTACGGTAGTGCTTTGCAACAGAGGCCTGAGCTTAATCCTTATAGTGGCCGGGGTGCAACTTCCCACAACTAGCATGCACCCAAACCCCACCGAAAAACAGGTTTTAGGGGCTTTGAAAGAGGAAGAGAGGGGTATGTCCAATTCCACAATAAGCCAACCATTCCATAGTATCCAAGTGATATGAGAATTCCCCAAGTCTAAAGTTATAAAACCACCTAATGTTGCCTAATTAAACAGCGAAGCATCTACCTAAATTCATACTAGTGGAACCATGAATAGAGTGTCCACTAGTTGGGGTTTTGTTTATTCTAGGGTGAACAAGGTAATAATAACAATAGCAATAATAATAAGGTCATAACAAAGGTAAATAGGCATGGCTAAATAAAACAGTGATAACGCAGGAATTTAAATAAAGCGATAATGCATTAATTTAAATCAAAATAATTTTATAAACTGGGATTCAATATGCTCAAGGATGATGTGACTTGCCTTGCTCAGAGAGAACGGCCTTCCGAACCTTCGGCGA